GAATCCTGAAATCCTGGAATCCTGGAATCCTGGAATCCTGGAATCCTGGAATCCTGGAATCCTGAAATCCTGGAATCCTGGAATCCTGGAATCCTGGAATCCTGGAATCCTGGAATACTGGAATCCTGGAATCCTTGAATCCTGGAATCCTGAAATCCTGAAATCCTGTTTTTTTGAAATCCTGGAATCCTGGAATGCTGGAATCCTGGAATCCTGGAATCCTGGAATACTGGAATCCTGGAATCCTTGAATCCGGGAATCCTGGAACCCTGAAATCCTGGAATCCTGAAATCCTGGAATCCTGGAATCCTGAAATCCTGGAATCCTGGAATCCTGGAATCCTGGAATCCTGGAATCCTGAAATCCTGGAATCCTGGAATCCTGGAATCCTGGAATCCTGGAATCCTGGAATACTGGAATCCTGGAATCCTTGAATCCGGGAATCCTGGAACCCTGAAATCCTGGAATCCTGAAATCCTGGAATCCTGGAATCCTGAAATCCTGGAATCCTGGAATCCTGGAATCCTGGAATCCTGGAATCCTGAAATCCTGGAATCCTGGAATCCTGGAATCCTGGAATCCTGAAATCCTGGAATACTGGAATCCTGGAATCCTTGAATCCTGGAATCCTGAAATCCTGAAATCCTGGAATCCTGAAATCGAAATCCTGGAATCCTGGAATCCTGGAATCCTGGAATCCTGGAATCCTGGAATCCTGAAATCCTGGAATCCTGGAATTCTGGAATCTTGGAATCCTGAAATCCTGGAATCCTGGAATCCTGAAATCCTGGAATCCTGGAATCCTGAAATCCTGAAATCCTGGAATCCTGGAATCCTGGAATCCTGGAATCCTGGAATCCTGGAATCCTGAAATCCTGGAATCCTGGAATCCTGGAATCCTGGAATCCTGGAATCCTGGAATACTGGAATCCTGGAATCCTTGAATCCTGGAATCCTGAAATCCTGAAATCCTGGAATCCTGAAATCCTGGAATCCTGGAATCCTGGAATCCTGGAATCCTGGAATCCTGGAATACTGGAATCCTGGAATCCTTGAATCCGGGAATCCTGGAACCCTGTATTTTGTTTTCTAGTCGATTTTACACTTCTACGAAAGAATAAGATTTGGTAATAAACATTTCACTGCTAAATGTATCTTGTCTCACTACAAGATACGCCTGGGGTCTAAACAAAAGTGCCGAATTTTTTATATTTTCACGTTTCCTACTGAAAATGTAGCTGAAAAAAGACATGAGACAAGTCCAAAAATACAAAATATAGTGCTTGGCACTGTTCCAAAAAATAGACATTGTTATGGATAGCAAAGTTTGAGCCAAGTTATCTCGGTTCCTGTGAGAGTTATCTAATATTGGTCAACTGATAAAATGTTACTAATATTATGATAAATATTTTATCAGTTGACAACTTTTTGATACCTGCTACAAGAAAAGAGATATAGGAGCTCAAAGGTGAAAGGTTGTAGTCGCCGCTAAAGGGTGCCACTAGTTAATGGCTTTTTGATAGCTTTTACAGAAACAGAGATAAATAAGCTTGGCTTCCAAAGCACGTATCTCGCAGGTAATTTTTTCAGGAAGTTGTCCACTACAAAAACGAAGCTCTACTTTTGTTTTATATTCTCTGAAATTTTCAGAACAATCGGAAAACTTTGACCTACTTTTGCAGAGGCCTAAACTTTTCCTTTACCTATCGGCCTTCTTTTGCTAATTATCCCTACTTTTTTGGCCGCAGCCCAACAATGATTTCCCTTTCTATTCATCATTTTTCTATCATCTTCCTTATCACTCTCATAGAAAAATTTTCCCCCGACGCGATGTTTGGTCTTACTAGAATTCTACCCAAAACACGTGGTTGTGTGAAGTCGTCGACAGAGAGGAACTTTCGAACTTATCATACATTGATAACAAGAAGATATCAGAAGAGGAAACTAGAGAAATGAGACGCAGAAAAAAGTGGCAAAAATCGAAAATCATTATTTTTGTATGGTTGGTGGTCAGTGGGCTAATTATAGTGTGGGTTATTGTTGCTACCTGGCATGTAGGTGGTAAAGGGGGCAGGTGTAAAAGTGACGTGGCATCATTTTTAGATTATGATCTTCAAAGGGTTTTTCCTTTTGGCCTAGAATACGAGGGCGTTTTCAGGGTGCATGTTTCCCCGGATATCCAATTTTGCTTGCAAGAGCTACCGTAATTGCTCTAATAGAACCCGCACTTTGAGTTCAATTATCTCGGTTCCTGTGAAAGATATTTCAAATTTGCCATTCAATAAATATTTATTATGTTATCAGCTACATTTCATCAGTTGATATGTTTTTGATATCTTTTAAAGGAACCAAGATAATTGAGCTTGCAGCCTAGGGGACGCAGGCGCTGCTGGCCGTGTAGCTCGCGCCGATATGTTCTTTGAGCTCAATTATCTTAGTTCCTATTAGAGATATCATAAATTTGTCAACTAATAAAATATTTTTCATGTTATTAGCTACATTTTATCAGTTAAAATTTTTTGACATCTCTTATAGGAACCGAGATAATTAAGCTCAAATGGAAAGTACCTGGGGGTCTTCGATTAGAGGAACTACCGTAGTTTGATTAGTCGGAAGACTAAGAATCCAGAGATTTCGAAAAACCGGAAACTGCAAAAATATGCAACACATGACACAATAGTGTAGATCACAATAAAAATAGTGATTCTTTGATTTTTGGAAAGTGTGAATGATCAATTTTGACATGGATCAGTTGATCTTTGAAAGTTTTCATTGACAACTTTAGTGTTTTCAGAAGTCAGAAAATCAAATGATCAAGATTTTGAGATTCTGACAATGAGATCTAGTATGGTTCAGTGTTTTAAGGAGTCAAAAATGCAGAAGGTTTTGAGATTCGGACTGCGAATGGCTCAGATCCGTAGGTGATACAGTACCCTGAAGATGTGAATCGCTACTTCTTGAACTCGTCAAACAGTTTCACTTTCCCATCTATTGACAAAATGTTCACAAAATGATCTAGATCAGACTATCAACGTCATCTAAAGAGAGAAATCGAACAAGGGATTTTTGATGTGTAAACAATCTGATGTTATACACTTTGGACCTATAAGGAAGTAAGGGATCTTCAAATCGAGTTATCTCGAATCCTGGAAGAGGTAGCGCGAAATTTTCAACTATTAAAATTTGAAGGGTTTTGTGTTAAACATTTTGTTAGTTGGAATTTTTAAACTGGCTTTTCTATTAAATGAGATAATTAGATTCGCCAGACAAGTAGACTGGTAGATCAAAAATGTTCTGTTCCTTTAAGTCAAAAACAAAAAGTTGTCAGTTATCAAAGATGATAAATCTGAAATTTTCGATTTCAGATTTCCAGATTCTAGGAATCCCAAAACCTTATAATCATAAATTCTCCGAATTTCAAAATACCAGGATTTCAGAACCCTAGAACCTTGATCGTCCGACGTTTGGCTTTCTGACAGCCTAACCTGGCCCAGGGCCGCGGCCGACCACGGCCGCATTCCGACCGTTTTAATGATGATAGTCTAGTTTTCTTTCTCACCGATCTATGTTCCAAACGATGAAACTGATAGATCAAAAAGATACACACATTTCGTTGACAAACTTTTTTTCTTTTTTTCCCAGACACCTATATCAACGGATGCTGTTCCAAAGGTCAAAAATTGAAGATCTATGAATTTTTATGATGCAAAAAAAGGCTTATTGTCATCATGGATGGGTCTGAAGGATTTGCCAAAAGAAGCGGAGTGTGTAGCTCTGATGTTAGATCTTTGAGTATTGAACGAGCTACGCGATGGATGTCGACATAGCTAATGCAACCTATACTTTGAGCTCACTTATCTCAATTTCTATAAGAGATATAAAAAATTTTTAAACTAATGAAATGTTGGAAATGTTACGGCAAACATTTTATCAGTGACCAGCTTTTTGATATCTCTTATAGTAACCGAGATAATTAAGCTGCAAGAATAGAGGTGGTAAGCGCGACCGACGGCGCAGCTCGCGCCAGTTTATACTTTGAGCTCACTTATCTCGGTTCCTGTAAAAGATATCAAGAATGTGTCAACTAATAAAATGTTTGAGGCATTATGATAAACATTTTATCAGTTGACAACTTTTTTGTATCTTTGACAGGAA